GAAAAGTAAGTACAAAGCAAGCCTTATCTCCTCTACAAACATACTCCTGATTTCAAAAAGTTCTTTCTCTATCATTTTTAAGTTTTTTTTTTTTTTAATGCACATTCCTGGAGCAGTTGAAAATAGGCACTTCTGGCACAAACTTTTGCAACAACCGGGTACCGGTGGCCCTAACGCTACTGCCATGGAGGAAGGTTCTCCAGGAGCTAGGGCTCTGCGTTGGTGGCCTGACCGGCAGATGCGGGGAGCAGGTAAACAGAGTATAGGAGGGGAATTGTAAAAGAAGCACACTTTTTAAAATAAAAAATCAAGCTCAGCTACCCTCGTGGTTGAAAATATACTGCTGTCATTCGGCGGAAAAGGTCCTGGAGGTAGCTAAAAACGGGGAGTGGCGTCCGAAGCTCGGATCCGCGCCGATCCGCGTCGGCGGAATGGGAAGGCATCGCTGCTTCTAAACGAGTTTTTTTCCGCAGGGAGCATAAGAGAACTGACACCTTGTTGGAGATGATATTTTCTCTCGTGTGGTGAAATATAAAATGACGAACTACAAGGAGCGGTATGAGCGCCGCCGACCCGACGGCCGAGCGCTGTGACCTGAGCGCATCTGGGCAAGGTTGCGGATCCAAAACGCAGAGCTGCGCCGCGTCAATAGTGAGGGAGACGCCTGGGAAATGCACGGTGGTGTCAGTGACCCACTATCTTCCAGAACTGGGGGGTCTGGAGCCCCAGGGAGCACTGGCATCCTGGAGCCTGGAAAGGTACGTGTCCACCTCCCTCCCAAACACTTCAAATCCTAAGTCGCCTTTCACGCCTTTCACCGTACAGCGGGCAGGTCGCTGGACTGTCAATGCCTCCAAATTTTTAAGAGAGGCCACCCAACCCCCGCTTGCAAAAGAAACAGGGATTCACCACTTATTCTCTGGGAACTCACGGACCACTCTTGATGCTGGATTTCAACCTTCCGGCCTCCACAAAGAGACAAATCTCCAGGCTACCACCAAAACAATATATCATATTGGCTCCCCTCCTGAATCTAGATCATTGAGGCCCAAATTCGAGTTCTGACTGCCAGCGCGGGCTTGAGTCCCAGGGTGGTGCCGCGTAAGAAAATTTCTGGCGCCTCCGCTTTTGCAAACGCTGAGACTCTAGGGGGATTGATATCACTCAGATGCGAATTCCAACGGGGGAGCGCCCTAGAAAAGGCGCTCTCCCGGGCGTTTCTCTGGCGAAGAGAAGTGGACAGAGCTGCGCCAGCGAGAATGCGGCTGGTGGAAAGGGCGGGCGAGCCCCTCGCAGCCGGCATACACCTCTCGCTTTGTGACAAATCGATTTCCCGCGCCGCTGTTCTGCCTTCGCTTCCCGCGGCTGCCCAGGGCCCAGCTGCGCCGGGTGCCCGCTTAGCACCAGCTTGTAGGGTGTTCGTGCGCGCGCGCGTGTCTAATTGACTTTCCGTCTACCTTTTTATGACTACATGTGTTTCCAACAAAAGGTCTAATAAGGACAATCTGGTTTCACTAATTTAGAGGTTGGGAATGTGGAAGGCGGGCTTTTTTTTTTTTTAAGAGTTTGCAGAAGTTCAGATTAAGAAATGACAGAGGGATGCACTGTCCTCCTAGGAGCTGGTCTGCCTCTTTTTATGACTTACTCCCCTATCCCCTCCCAGACTCCCTCTATCCACCGCCAACACTGCTGGATCCTCACAGTGTTCAAGAACCATCTCCTTTAACTCCTAAGATAGTTGAAGCCAGCAGTTTGAGAAATTCACTGGTGTGGGACAATTAGTAAAAGGAGAAAGAAGACAGACAAGAGAGAGAAAAGTGGGGGTGAATATCAACCAAGGAAGGGAAGCAGGATAGGAGAGTGAGGAGGATCAGCGGGATTCGCTCATCTGGGACAAGCTAGCTCCTCTCTGCTACACTCAGCCCCTCTCCTGCCCGCTGTAATGAACATTTTGCAAAATTAAGAATTACACAAGGTGCACCTGGAGTCTGTTTTGCTACTTCCTACTAAAGCTGGAAAGGGCAAGGATACTGAGGTTCTACGTGGCTAGCAGAGTTAAAGGCATCTTTGCAATGTTCCCCATCTCTTGAAGATGTTATAGTTCCCAGATTTACAGAGAGCTGCAAGGAGCTGGGATTCCTACTCCACCCGTCAATCTCTTGCAGCCAGGATCCCTGCTCTAGCCTTCCTCTGCCACAAGACTCCCCTCTTTCCTGATTCGCTGCGTGCGGAGCCTCGGTGCCCACCACAGGCTGGAGGACCTACAGCCTCCAGGGATCTTGCCTGCCCAGTAGCACACAACAGCTTCCTCCACACCTCGGTGAAAGCCCAAGAGTTAGGGAGGACAGTCTCCTGGATGGCTGCTCTCACGGGGTTCATCAGACCCAGGTTTCTCCTGCCCAAGGGTGGGAAGAGATGGAGAAAACGCTGCTTCTAAAAGCAACAAACTACTTGTTAGACGAATGGGCCTCCTGGCCATCCCTGGGAAGTGAGGCCTAGCATGGGTGTGCATGGATGGTTGGGTGAGTGTGCGCATTCGCAACAATTTCCTGGACACTTTCCCCAGTCCCAGGAGCTGGTCGCTTCGTCCCCATTATTTCTCTCTGTCTTGGCCGTCTCCTCCCGAAGCTGTCTAGTGACATCTTTCTGCAGTTCGTCTGCTCCCTGGTTGGCCTTTGAGGCTCAGTTTCTTATCGCGTCTCTCTCTGTACAAGGCCTCTGCACTGACAACTCAGATGTGGTTTGGTGTATCCTCCGCTGGGTTCCCAGAGTCTTGGTCCCTTCTCCTGGGACACAGGAATCCCAGCTCATGGAGAGCATCTATGAGTGCCCCATTGGACGCCCGTGAGTGGCACAGCCTCACAGCCAAGGCGGCGCCAGGCCTCAAGCCTCCAGATGCGATTCACCAGCCCCCGACAGCCTCCCAAGCACTGTGCGCTTTCTCAAATCTGCTCAGAGGCACTGCCCAGCCGGCTTCCTGGGTCCTGTCTGCTCTGTACCCACTATAAGGCCATGACAAACCACAAATCCTGAGTTCTCTGTTTGTGGCATTCACTTGGTGCCAAACAACTGGCCCTGTCCGCATACCTCCAGTATCCGATGCCCACCGCGGCTGGCCTGGGCCGACCGCCTGGGGTTGCTGAGGCCCTGGGCCTTCACCCTGGTTTTTCTAGCCTCCTAGGAAAAAAACAACACGGTATCCATTCTCCTGCCTAGCCTGGTCTTCCTCACAGCAATTTCTCCCGCAGTACTGTTCTCTGTTGTGGGCTGTGTCTCCAGTTCTCTGAATAGTGATAAATATTGGGATTAATAATGAGTAAAGGATAACCAGGAATGGCAAAATGTGCAGACTTGGTGAAACTGAGGTTTGCAATACTAGCCTCTGCACGTTTTGGATGTTTTGTGTTTTCCACAGTAAAACGTTAAAAAAAAAAAAAAAAAGAAAAGAAATGGCATTTCGCGATGCATTTTGTTCGACCTAAAATGTTTATCCGAACACTTAACTCATACTGCTGGCGTGTGCAGCGGTAGCAGCTCAATGTCTGTGCCTGTGAGCCTTACCTAGGACCTGGGGTCACTGACTGGATTCCTCAGAGTTTGCACACAGACTCTAGGGAAAGGTCAAGGCCAGATCTCCTCGGACAGCCTGTTTCGCCCTCTGTATGTGTAAGTGCACCGAACACCAAAGTGGACATAGGCCTCGATTTAAGGAAGCAGGGCGGGGGGCTTGCGCCCCGCATGCCAGGGGCTCTCCAGCGTCCAGCTTTAGCTGGCTTGCCGGGCCCCCCACACTGTGCCCAGGCCCAGTCTTCCAGCTGTTTCTGAGTCCCGTCGCGTTCGCATGTTTGTTTTCTGAGAGTCTGAGATGGGTATTGTCTTGTGAGAATCTGAATAGTGTTGGGTCCCCTGGGTCCACGGGTTCCAAATTAGAAGACAAAACAGCGACGGGTAAGTAAAGACATGGAAAGCATTGGCCCTCGTTTTAGAACTTCTGGAGGTTCGGCCTCTTGCAACGTCGAGGAGAGGAGGGAGTTATCTACATGCGTCTGGCCCCTGTCACCTGTGATAAGGGAGGTGGCAGATCTACTACGGACACCTGCAGTCGCGTTTTCAAGGCCCGAGGCGAGATTTTCATGGGGTAGATGAACTACCCCATGTAGAGTGCACTTTTCTGGAGATTAGCAACCAACAGCAAAAACTCTTCCAATGTGAAACTCCACCGCCTTGAAGCCAGTGCTCCCCCGGACACTTCTCTCCTGCACGGGAAAGTGCGCAATAGGATCTCGCGTTTGAACACTGAAGGGCCAGTCCCCCTACGTCTGCGGAATTTGTCCCCAGTCAATAGAGCTTTCGAATCTGCCTCCAAGCCTTTTGCAGGTGGAGGCGACAGCAGGGGGCAGAGAGCAGCTCCCGCGGCTGGGGCTGGGAGTTGCGCGCGGCCTCCCCAGCGAGCCCGGCCTCCCTCGAGTGCCAGGGCGCGCAGCCCGAGCAGCGCGGGTCCCGCTCCCCCTGCGCGGTGCCCTCCCCGCGAGCCCGCTTTGGACTACCAGGGACCGGGAAGCCCTTCCCCGCCGACTGAGCATCTTTAACCCGCTGGCTTCCGAGTTGGCGGCGGCAGAACCCTCCTTTCCCCAGCCCCTCCAGCGGGACAAGCCGTCAGCCGCACTCGCCCGAGACCAAGGCACAGCCGGGTCCGTTAAGGCAGCAGACGGCGGAGCGCAGCGTCTGTGCCACGCACTGCTGGGCTTCGGAGCGCCCCCCGGCCTCTGAGCCTCTCCCCGACATCCACCTCCGCCAAGCCCTCGGCCGAGCCCTTTTTTTCTCATCTCTTTTCCCCTGACGTGCAACAGGCACTTCCTCCGGGGACTGCCAGCACCTCTCCCGGTTCGCCCCCCGCCGCCCAGTTTCTCCTCGGGGTCCTGAGGGCTCCCGCAGCCCCTACCCGGGCCCCCGCCCTCTGTTCCGGGCACACACCCCGCGGGCATGCGCCCCTCACTCACTGTCCTGCTGTGGGGTGTCGCTGCCGCTGGTGAGTCCCGGCGATTCCAGCAGGCTCCGGCCCGCCTCGCCCACGCTCTCGTCCGCCTGTGCCGCCACCATGTCCCCGGCTTCCTCCAGGTCTAGCAGGTGACTGACGGAGAAGTTCTTTTTCGCCTGCAGGGTGTCGAGGTTGCCGGGGCTGTCCAAGCGGCCGCCCAGCGCCGGCTGCCGCTCCAGAACGTGCCCGTAGCTGGAGGTCATGGTCTCCCCCTCCAATCCCACCCACCCCCCTCTTCCCGCTCGAATCAACACCAAACGCTGTGGGCGCGAGGGGGGAGAGGAGCCGAGTGGGGATGGAAGAGGGGGGAGTGGAGAGAGAGACAGAGAGAGAGAGGAGAGAGAGGAAGAGGGAGGGAAGGAGAGGAAGGCCAAAAAAAAAAAAAAAAAGTGGAAAAGAGGGCGGGGGACCCCCTTCTGCAGAGCAGAGCAGCCTTGGGCAGCCTCGGTTGGCTTCCCGAGGCCAAGTCCGGCGCGGTCCAAAGAGATAATCCACACCAAAAAATAAAAGTAAAAAACCACCCTATGTTCAAGTCAGTGAGAGGAAAAAAAATCCCTTCCAGCTCTCCAAAAGCGTCCACACGCACGCACTAAAAATAATAATGAGAGGGAGAGAAGAAAGGGGAGGCCAGCCGGTGGGGGGAGTCAGGCAAACAGAAGAGAGAGAAGGGGTGGGAGAGAAGAATCAAAGTGGGGTTGTTTCTTTTCTTTTTTTTTTTTAAGAAAAAAAAAAGAGGTTAAAGAAGTTATTCCCAGGCAAGAGTTCAAGCACCAACAGAAGGCTTGTTCCAGCTTTAAAACATCTTCAAGAAAACGTGTTCCCCTCTCTGCACTCCTGTGGATTCTCAGGAGTGACTAAAGTTTCAGGAGGAGAGGGTGATGTCTTGCAGATGTATTAGAGAGCAGGATTCTCACTTTACTTTTCGTAAGGAGCAAAAAAAAAAATTAAAAATAAAAAAACGAGGGCTTCAGGCGTCCGAGGGAGGGTGGCGGCGGCTCCCCCCTTTCCCTGCTCCGCGCCCCCTCTTCTAGCCGGGCTCCTTTTCCCTTCTCAGTTGGATCAAGAAGCTCTCTGGCACTTCAAAAGGCACAAACTGGCATGCAGAGGAGGCTTTGTAGGGAATACAAGAAAATTGGAGACCCCTGGGAGGGCAGATCTCGACTTAATAGGAGCCTGTAATTACGTGGCAAAGCCTTTGTGCCGAGCCTGACGTTTCACAGACCCCCTTTCTCCACCACAATCTCCTTCTTCCTCCTTTCCCTCCGACCAAAAAGCAGTCTGATTAAGAAAACCCCCTTTGCCAACATCAGAGCAGGAGAGAAAGGCAGAGGGAGGGAGCGAGGGAGGAGGGAAGGCAGAGGGAGGGAGGAGAGCGGAGAGCCCCTTCGGATTTTAAAGTCAAGGTCTAATTATCATTTCCCTGCAAGAGTATCGCCGGCAGAGAGGACTAACTGAAACCCACAGTCACTTCAAACGGGCTGATTATTTTGCTTCGGCATTAACTCCTCCAGATTTGTTTAAGATCCTGTTGGAAAATCTCATTTGCATGTTTTGATAACAGCTGCGGGGAAACTTGTTGGAAAAAATCCACCACTATCACAATCAAATTTGCTTCTCCCTTTCCTCCCGCTCTCTCCTCCCCTTAAGGTCTCCTGCTGCTCTCACAGTTTTTGGAGGGGAGTGCAGCGGCGAGAAACTAGGCGCACGAAGGCTACGTTGGGCTCCGGAGAGCCAGCCTATTAAATAATGCGATAAAATGGCCAGGGCGAGCCTCGTGGCAGCCTCCTCTCCCACGGTTCTGCCGCCTGCTAAAGGCGCGCTGGGGAGATCCAGAGGACGCAGAATCGATCCAGGCTTTCCCTGACGCGAGGAATCCCCGGGCTGCGGCAGTAGGAAATTTACATATGATTAAGCGGGTGGAAAGGACACCAGGAGTGAATCCTAATCGTCCCCTTACCCCAGCCAATTTCGTAACCTCCTTGGTGTGGCCAAGGTCGCTCTCCCCAGCGACGACGCCGAGCCCGGGGGTCCGGCCGCCCAGGGGCAGCGGCGGGGATGGGCTCACGGCGCGTGTCTGGGTCCAGCCGGGGTGCGGGCGGTCGCGGGGAGACAGGCGGGGGCAGGGAGCCCTCCACCCACCCATTTAAAGCTACGGATAGTGCTGTCGTCCATCTGCTGAGCACTAACTTGACAGAGGACAGAGAGGTGCTGAGCGGTTTTTTCATGACCTGTTGGAATTTGGTAACAGCTTTAATAGTCTCATTAGAAGTGAGTTACTATATGACAAGTAAAATATTAAGTGCTTATTTGTGGCGTTTTATGTTCACACACACACACACACACACACACTCGCTCCCCAGATTGTTAGACTTTATTATTATTATTATTCCCTCCTATAGCCGAGAGGCTGCCCTGGAGAGAAAGAAGGGTCTGAGTGTGCGTTAATGCTTTCTGGGCTCCAAACGGCCACAGTTAGCCCAGAACTTCCAGCCCCGATCTGGGAAAAGAACATTTGATGCCATCAAAGGGCTGCAGATTGAAACCAGATGTGCTCGCCTCGGTTCTTTCCATGCATTTAATTAAGGAGCCGGGATGGAGGAGACTTTTTCATCATTAGTCCACCCACTCCCCCCTCCTCTCTCCACCCCCTCGCCCTCCCCACGGGCCGCTCGCACCCCTACCGGGAGCCCTAGAGCCCCGCCAGCACAGCGCCGCCGGCCGCGCGGGTTGCTCCGTCTCCCCAGCGGTCCCGGCTCTAAGCCGTAAACATCTGTCCGCGTCTGAGCCAGGGCGAGCGCGAGGCGCGTGGGGGCGGCGCGCGCGCGGGTGGGCCCGCGCGCACTGGGAGCGCGTGGCGTGGAGGGGCGCCTTCCGCCTGGGTTGCCATCGGCGCCGCCTTCGAAGGTCCGAGCGGAGCGCTGCCCGGCGCACGTGCCGGGGGTCGCCGGACTGGACTGGACTTCAAGTCCTCTCCCCACTCCCCCTCTCCCGTGCCAGGCTCCGCACGGGTTTGCTTGCAAGGGCTGGGGAGCCGCTTCTCCCTTCCCTTCCGCGCCGCAGCGGATCTGCTGCCCCGAAACTTTCCCCCCTAAACCCGAGCAGCTGCTCGGCTCTCCCTCCGTGCCTCGCGCTCTCCACCCTCACAGACACAGCTGCGTTTTAGCGGCCCTAACCCCGACCGGTGACTAAGGTGTGAGTAAGGCATCTGAGGCTGCTGGCCTGCTCCAGACAGGACGCGGAGACTTCGGTCGCCTGGGGAGGGGGTGGAGGGGGCACCGCCCTCGCCGGAAAGTTGCCTTGCCCCACGTGCTGTCGCCTTGCTTGGTGACCGAGGTTGAGTGACAGGGCAGAGAGGTCAGGAATGGCACCTGAAAGAGCCCACCTCCCCCCCGTGGTTTCGGTCCGCTCTGCTCCCAGTCGGGTCGGGCACTTCTTGGAACCCCCCGACTTGTCATTCACGTTAACATCAACGAGCCGTCCGCTCACCGACTGGGATGCTCATCGCTTCTACACGCAAACACCGGACACACTTGCTAATCATTTGCCGGCCCAATAGGTTTCTATCTAACACATAAATCTCCACGTGCACTATCTTCCCAGAATGTCTCTTGGACTGAGAGTTCACCTCTGGGCCAACAGCCCCGGGCTGGTACAGCCAGGGCCGCCTTGGGAGCGCGCTGGGGTCTGAGGCCGCGGAACCTCGCCCGAGCACAGGGGATGACTTTGGAAGACCGTGGGGGGCGCACAGTGTCCTTGGAGTCTTCCGAGCTGAAACTCGGGGTGACCGCGTTGCAGCTCCCGGTGCAGAACAAGGCAGGCGGCAGGGCCCCCAGCAGTTTCCGAATCCGGCGGGGGACTCCTCGCTCCCCCGGAGAGGCTGCTGCTTCTCGGGGCATCTCGCAGGCCTCAGCTGCAAGGACCGCGGGCGTCTTCCCAGCCTGACATCACCGCAGGAAGCCGAGAGGCCGGGTGGGCCGCTGGCGTCCGGGTGGGCGGCGGGGACGTGGTGGGAAGTCCCCTGGGATGCAAATGTTGGAGACAAACACCCTGCGGCAAAATCCTGTCTTTTCCTTTCCTTTCCTTTTCTTTCTTTCTTTCCTTCTTCTCTTCTCTTCTCTTCTCTTCTCTTCTCTTCTCTTCTCTTCTCTTCTCTTCTCTTCTCTTCTCTTCTCTTCTCTTCTCTTCTCTTCTCTTCTCTTCTCTTCTCTTCTCTTCTCTTCTCTTTCCTGTCCTTTCTTTCAGTGGAAGATTTCGAGGGATATGTTTAGGTTTCTGTACCTCGCCCTTTTTATCTATTAACACAAGTGGATTAGATCCACACTTGATTATGTTTATACACAACATTTGTAATTTTTTGCCATCCTCGGATTGTAATGAAAACGGTAGGATAACCCCACAGGGAAATTCGAGACAGGGCAGAGAGCGCCTTTATGCCTTCAACGACAAAACGCCGGCCGGCCAAGCAGGCGCTCGGGCCACCCCACCCTCCGAGCCAGCGCTGATACTTTGCCCCGGGCGCCCCGCGTCTGGCCGGGGAACTCCTTCCCAGAGCGCCTAGGGTCACAGGCCCGGCTACAGGGGAGCACCAGGGGGACGCCGGTGGGCCTGAGTTCTCTCCCTCAGGTTGGGGGAATCGGGATGGCCAAGCGCCCGCAGGATTTGAGACCGGCCATCTGGCCGAAAGATGTCTGGGAGGAGGCTAGGAGAAGCTGTGGCTGAGAGCGCACGCTCACCTCCCAGGCAGGCGGCAGGCCTGGCCTGGGAACTCAGAAGGCCCCAGAGCGGAATGGCCTGATGCTGCCCCTGTAAGTTCCTTAATCTCTTATTTTGTTTTCTCCATGTGACTTCCTTTTGGGGAGCATTGGAAAGAGAGCATTTCAAACTCAAAATCTTCTGAACATGTGTAGGCCCTCTCTTGGCTGTGCTTGCCTTCCATCCATCAATCAATGTTTATTAAAGTCTGAAGCCCTGGATGATGTAGCTAACCAGAACTCTCTTTCCTCAGGACCTTTCCCTCATCTGAGAGTGGCTTTCCAATCATTCTTTCTGCCCCACACCCTCTGGGATAACTCCTGTTTTTGGATTCCTCCCCAAGTAAGTGGGAGCAAAACTGGAACTAACAAGGAAAGTTGCCAAGACATCAGACCAAGGTAAGAAGGGGGCTTGGTTCCCAGCCACGTGCCCTTGGGTGGTCCTATTCATAGTTAGCTTTGGTATTGATTACTATCCAGGATTTCCCTGGCACGGGAAGCTGGCAGAACTCTGCCTCATCTGGCTAGCAGAATGTCCCCCATCCTGAGCAGTTTCCCTTCTGAATTAGAAAGCCAGGAGCTGCACTCCCTGACATGCTAATAAGCAGACATGGTAATCGCATGTGACAGGTCACATGCTCCGTGACACATAAAGAAGACAATATCACCCCGTGCAGACATCATGCTGTGGCAGCAGAATTGCTTTCCTGCTCATAGTTGACAACCTAGTACATATTCATTAGCAATGAAATAGAGGAAAAGAGTGAAATGCAAGATGGGTTCTGCAGGGTTCTCCTATTTTAATGTTTTTCAGAAGGAGACTTTGTGCCAGATCTGAAAGAAACTCTCCTTTGCCCTTCCAGCTCTGGTTCTTGTAATCATAAGTGGCATTTTGGGTACATTCCTTCTGTGCATGGGTGAATGCTTTCCACCCACCCCTAACTCCATTTTGTTGCAATAATCAAATGAAGTAGGGCTAAAAACACATTTCCAAGTAGTGAGATGGTAAGGGGCCCACTCTGCTACAGACTGGGGGGCCCAACACATTCAGCTGGAACCTAGTGCAGGTGGCTTGGAACTGCTTTGCACGTCAACATCATGGAGACAGCCTTAGCTACCTGTGTGTGAGCAATACAGTATATACTTCTAGGCCTTATTTTACTGTCTCTGCTATATTTGAGAATGTTGACCACTTTCCTTTTTTTTTTTTTTTAAAGATTTATTTATTTGAAAGGCGGAGTTACAGAGCGGCAGAGGCAGAGAGAGAGAGGTCTTCCATTTGCTAGTTCACTCCCCCAGATGACTGCAACAGCTGGAGCTGCCCAGATCGGAAGCCAGGAGCCAGGAGCTTCCTTTAGGTCTCCCACACAGGTACAGGGGCCCAAGGGCTTGGGCCATCTTCCACTGCTTTCCCAGGCCATAGCAGAGAGCTGGATCGGAAGTAGAGCAGCCAGGACTCAACTGGCGCCCATATGGGATGCTGGCACTGCAGGCAGCGACTTACCCGCTCCACCACAGCGCCAGCCCTGACCACTTCCTTTTTGAAATATCTTCTGCTTCTCTATTTTGCTGACCACTTCTTTTTGTCTTTGTAGACTGTTCCCTTGCTCACTCCTTAAACACCGATGTTTGCAAGAGTCGTGCCCTTTATCCTCACTGTCCTTCACAATACATTGGTTGTTCTTAGCAAATCTCATACATATTTATGGATTAACTACCATCTATGTGTCAATGAATCTAAAACCTCAGTCTCAAGCTTGGCCACCTCCTCACTGTTACCTAGGACTAATTGGGCCGTTTCCCTCTCTAAGACTTGGTTTATTCATCCTTCAAGCAAGACTGATTATATCTACCACGTAGCAGTGAGATTTAAATGAGAATATATACAATCTGCTTAGCATGGTGCTTACCATGTAGTAAACACCAAGTAAAAAATATCTTATCTCTTTATTGGACATGCATGTTAGTTGAAGAAATTCAACATGTCTCAATCTCAAACTGAACTCAACCTCTTCTCCCCTTGATTCTTTTCTTCCTCTGATGTCACCTGCGGCTTACTCAGCTTATCACTCAGGTCCACCTGTTTTAACCTAGCCAGCACTGATCCTTTCACAGCATCATCAGAAAGTGCTTGTAGCATCAGAACTGAAGATACAGTCATACAGAGGAGGTGAGCAGGCAATACTTCATGTGAGGTGTGGGTGTAGTGTTATAGTGTCTTCATACTGTATAAACAGGGCAACAATTAGTAGTCATGGTGCCTGTCGGATGTCTTTCGGGGATATATGAATATGCAGGTGCCTCGCCCTCTCTGGCCTGGAGAACCCAGGCCGTATTCAGCGGGGTAGTTTCATGTGTACCATACACAGCTGTGGAAAGACCATGAATGAAAATAGAGGGAAAGTCC